TATGTAATAAATATCTGGTTTTACACAAAGATAATAATGAAATCGAGTAATGAATGGATACTTAAAGACACGGAAACTATTGACAACTTTTATAGACATTGAAGAATATATTGAAGAATAAATATATCTTTTTAAGACATAATAATAATTACAAATAAATGTTTAGTTTTTAATTTAATGGCATTTAAATCTCATTAAGAAGACAACTAATTGTGTGATCTCTAATAAACAACATGGTATTCATCTCAACATAATTTCATTTGAAACCAAAATAATACAAATTTTTGCATCGTTTCTAGTATTTGAAAATTGTTTTCATAATATTATATAAATAATTAACTAATTTTTGTTATTTTTAAATTATAATAAATATTTATTAGTAGTTATTTTTAATTAAATAAAAGTCGATGTATTAATAATGTTATAATGATTTTCAAAAAGTATTTTTTAATTAATTTTTTCAATAAATTATAAGTCATTATTAAAAATATATAAATAATTATTGTTTAACTAATTGTTTAATAAAATTTAAAATGTTACGAATTATAATAAAATAAAAATATATGAAAATAAAATTGTTATTAAATTTTAACACAATTTTTTTTTAATTTATCGCAATATAGAGTATATGTAACTTTATATCAATGCTATGCCCTTTATCTGCCCTCGAGATTAAGTCTAGATCATTTAATCTGGAGATATATTACAAATTGACAATAAATAATTTGTATCATTGAGTTCAGTGTAGCTATAAATCAAGTTTATATTCAAATCTAACATTTATCACAACCATTACTACCAAAATATTCTTCTCGCAAGCAAACCAATACATGTGATAAATAGGGTAAAAATTCACATACCTTAACATGGTGTATATGTCTAGTATCATCGGCATCGTGTTTGGTATATATCACCTACCTCATTTATGTATTACAATCAGGTGATTATGAACCATATTAGCTAAGATTGTTCTCGGATCGCAGATGTTGATCATAATAACAACTTATTGGATATAATTGCACAATAACTACATTATAGATTCACTGATCAATTTGTAATTAACAAAACTCAACACGTTTTTCGTATAACAGTCAATAAATTTCAAAATTTAAATTTTCCCATAATTTCAACGTGTTTTTAACGTAAACATTTATTTCAAGTTATTTACACGTTTATTTTTAATGCATTTACCGGTCAATTATTTAATGCATTATTTGGGTTGAAATGTGTAAAAGGGTTTAAAATTTAAACTTTAAATATTCAGAGATTACTAACAACTATAGTTTGCAGATACGTTAACTTAAAACAAGCTAGAACTAACGTACATCCTTGGCACCATTTTTAAAAACGGTCAAATTTATTTTTAAAACAATGTTTTAAAAGTATTTGTATTTTTAATCAAACATTATATAATATTTTTAAAACATATCATTTAAATAAATAACAGATATATCAAAATGTTATATATTTTTTAGTTGCATTTGGACTCTGTTTTGTTGATTTTGTTGTGCGAATCAATGATTGTGTGTATATAAAGGGGGAAATGGATATCCGAGTTACAAAATTGGTAGCAATTCATCAAATTTCTCGTTAAAATGGACAAAAAAGTCTTGGACTTGAAAAAAATATGGTGACTTTGTTGACTTCCCCTCCACCACCAAAATTGACATTTTTTATTATTCTTCCCTAAAAGACGTATAACTTGTATAATATTTGCGATCAAAAAACATAGGAATAATGCCATCAAAAAAGGGATCAAATTTTTTTCTTTTTTTATTCATCCATTCGTTGAGTTTTTTGTGTTGATTCTGTTGTGGGGATCACTTATGGATCACAAAATTTCCAAGAATTACATGAATGAAGAATTGTTATATATATTTAAAGACAAAAAGTGAGAATATATTATATGTATATAGAGTTGAGCTATAAGTTTGTCTCTCTTTCGCTCGTTTTCTTTCATTTTCTTACTGTTTTTTCTCGGATTTTTATTGAGTTATAGTTTTTCCCGGAATTGACACCAAATACTTAACTACTAAATGATAGTTTACATTAAATCTGTCATTTAATGTCAAAATAATTTATTATAAATTTAATTATTATGAACTTAACGTTTGGATAAATTTCTCATAATATACTTATAATTGCTCTTTTGTAAATACAGTATATTTGCAATACATTTAATATAACTTTCTTATAATTTTTCAAAACATACTGTAATTATAAATAAATTTAAATTATCTTTCATGTAAATTTAGTAGATATTGACTGATTGTCTGCCATACTATTGATAAGCTGTTATAATAAGATATTTTAGTTTTATTTTATCCATACATTATTATACAGTATTTGAAAAACTGATGAGTTTCTACCACATATAAAATTCAATAAATATCCAAATGCAAATGTCTTATAATAATTAATTTGTAGTCAAAGAATAAAACAAATAATAAATCACTATTTCTTGCATTATATAAGTATATGATTGCGAAAATAAATGTACAAAAAGGCAAAGAAAATATATATCCTAACAAAAAAGTCAAGAATCATGTGAAGCATAAAAAGTATAATAAATAATCAAAAAGAGTTTTGTATCCCAAATATAACTTACGAGTTAGCAATACATTAAACACTTGTATACTCTGAACAGTTAATGTACAGTATTTACAGAATTTTGCAAAATTCTGTACACAATTTTGTATATATAATACAGTGGTTACTGTATATAAAGTGGTAAAACATTATTTTTTATATTTTATATTTTTGTTTTGCAAAGTCTTTACAACTGAAGGCATCTTTCCCTCAATCATAAGTTAATAAAAATATGTCCAAAAGAGTAAACGAAACATATTTTTAATGAATTGAATTCATGTGAAAAGTATTTCTTGTGATATAAATAGCAATTTCATACCAAAAGCAATCTTATGTTACATAAAAAGATTAGGAAATATAGGAGATACGTATATCAACATTACATTATTTAAGATGTTTTAGTTAAATAAAAGCACTTTTCAAATGAATTGGTCGTCAAATATTTTGAATTCTTTTGGGAATTTAATGTATGTTTCGGACAGACATTAAAGATCCAGGTAATGGTTGCCACTACTTATATTGGTATAAATAGTTTATTATTTATTTATTTAATAAATTAAATATTTAATTAAGTCTTAAATTAAAAATATTGATATTTTTATAGGTATTATGTTTGGTGATATAAATTAAAAACTTTTTAAATATTATCTATATTAAAATGACATGAATATTTTTTGTACACATCCAATAGTAGATTAATCTGTTTTTAATGTACTCAAAATTTTAAATAAAATAGTTTTTATAACGAAAATTATATTCCAATTCATTATAATTATTTTGTCGGACGAATTTGAATGACTAAAAATACTTATACAATAAGCATTTGAATTTCATGTGTAAAATATTTTGCTTATTATAACCGAAAACCTTTCAAAAATATAACGGATTGATAACAAATGTCGTTTCATTTTTATTTCACATATTTTTACACTTGATGTGCAAAAGCCATACAAAAAATCTCATAATTGAATAAAATGTTTTTTTGTACTCAAATTTAATGTATAATATATGCGAAAATATCGTGAATTTAATGTGAAAATGTGTGCACAAAATACGCAAATGGATCCCATTTTGTGATTAATATACACTTTTTTCATTGAAAATGAATGACAATAGATTGTTGTGTTGCGAAACATGTGCTACAATTTGTTTGAATTTTTCGTGAATTTATTGTTGTTGTAATACGAAAATGAGAGTCCAATTGATTTTTTGTGTTGTGTTACGAATCCATCGAAAATCTATACAAAAAATTAGGAGAAAGAAAGAAAGAAAGAAAGAGAGAGAGAGAGAGAGAGAGAGAGAGAGAGAGAGAGAGAGAGAGA